GATTGTTATTAGCTTATGGCTTCCTAAAAACCATGGAAGTAAAACTTTAATCCTTCATCTCTGTCTTTTTATTAGTTCCCAAAATTTATGTTTAATAATAGTAAGATAGCTAACATTTATATAGCACCTATTATGTGCCAGGCACTGTGCTAAGTGCTTTACAAATATTATCTCCTTTGATCCTCAGAATAACACTGGGAGGTAGACAGGTGCTATCAGTGATCCAGATGAGGAAACTATTTACAAAAATAGGTAAGAATCAGATTATTATAATTTATATTTCTATGCCACTTTCTAGCCTTCTGGCAGTCTTACTTGTTTTCCATTTTATAACTAACATTTTTGATCAATCCACATTTACTGCTATTTGATCTCCAGCTTAGGTTTTTAATCATTTATATTTGATATGGCAGACTTAAAATTGTTAGTACTTTTACTGTCTAGGTGGTGGCAGTGGAATAAGGAGAATATGAAGTTTATAAATGAGTCTCAAACCAAAGGATGAGGAAGTCTGCCTTTTTTTTCCCATCACATAACAGTATATGGAGAGATGGTAGCTAGCTGCCTGTACTGATCAGGCTCAAAAGAAGCTCCAGAAATTTCTGCCTTAGATATTTGAAACAACAAAAGCCCCAGTTAAAATCCTTTTATTATTTGGGAAGGATAACACAATAAGCCATTATTCTCATTAGCACCTAAATTCAAATTTACTGATCAGATTATTTCTGATCCCTTAAAATCATATGGAAAGGACAGTGGCCAGGAAAATTTTGACAGGAAGTATGGTTACTCAAGAAAAATCAGTAACATGGGAAACCAGGCCTTGAAGGAATGGGAAGAATTTCAATCTGAAAATCTGCAGAAGTTGGGGGGCAGCTAGGTGGCGCAGTGGATAGAGCACCAGCCCTAAAGTCAGGAGGACCTGAGTTCAAATCTGGTCTCAGACCAAACATTTGACACTAGCTGTGTGCAAAAAAAAAATTTGCAGAAATTGGTTGGCATGTGAGAGATGGGAAAAAAAAGGGCAGGATAAAAGTAATAACAATGACAACTAGTTTCTATACAGTATATTAAAGTTTGTAAAGCATTTTTACATATATTATTTCATTTGATCCTCACAATAATCCTGCAAGCAAGCCCAATTTAATTGAAGGGAAGCAGTGTGAAATGAGGCTGGAAAGATTGGAAGTGCCAGACTACGGAAGGCCTTGAATGCCAGCCTAAGGAATTAGCATTTTTAGCCTGCCCATAATGGAGAGCCACTGTTTGGGCAGAGGAATGTGGTCAGATATATAATGGCAATATTACTTTGGCAGAGTTGTAGAAAATGGGTTTAATGATTATATTTATGCAGATAACTCCAGGATCTTTATATCTGACGTTATTTCTTTCCTGATCACTAGTCCTGTATTACCAATTGTGTACTGGCCATTTCCAACTGCATGTCCTGCAGGCAGCACAAATGCAATGTGTCCAAACCTGAATGTCCAATACCAAATCCATTATATTTTCCCCTAAACCCACCTCTTTTCCAAACTTCCCTATTTGTGTAGAGAGCACAACTATCATTCCAGTCACCCAGGTTTGCAACTTCAAAAGTCCCTACTTGTCTAATCATTTCCTTTACCCCATGTATTCAATCAGTAGCTAAGTGTCTCTCATCTGTCTACTCTCTCCAGACACCACAAGTGCCCCTTAACTCTCTTCTGGACTACTCAACAGCACCCTTATTGGTCTCATGCATCCAGTCACTCCTCTCTCCAATCCATCCTCCACACAGTTGCTAAAGAGAGTTAACCTAAAAAGCACCTCTGTCCATATCACTCCCTACTCAATATACAATGGTTCCTCATTACCTCTAAGTTCAGACATAAACTCCTCTGGTATTTAAAGGCCTTCACAACCTGGCTCCAACCTACCTTTCCAGCCTCATTCTACATTTCTCTCTTTCTCCTAGTTCGTGGTCCAGTTCACCTGGCTTTCTTGCTCTTTCTCACACACAAAACTCCATGGCCCATATTTGTGACTTTGCACTGGCTGTCCTCCTTGCCCAGAACGTAGTCCCTTATTTCTCTCAAAATTCGGCTGAGGTGCCACTTTCTCCATGAAGCCTTTTCTGATTTCCTCAACTGCTGCTAGTGACCTTCCCTCCACACATGACGTTGATTTTATTTTGAATATACTTTAAAATGTATGCTGTCTTCCATGACAGCATATAAGTTCCTTGAGGGCAGGAAGTTTCATTTTTGTCTTTGTATGCCTGCTGACTAGCACATGGTATGGGCTTAATAAATGCTTGTTGATTGATAGTGCTTCTCCCCTCAAATGACCTTGCATTTATTTATTATTATATATGTGTATATGTGTATATGTGTGTATGCCATTTCCCCCAGTAAAATATAAACTTCTTGAGGACAGGAAATGTTTTAATTTCTGTCTTGATACCTCCAGTGCCTAGCACAGTACCTGTCATGTAGTAGGTGCTTATTAAATGTTTGTTGATAAATTTATTGAGGCAGGGAAGTCAATTACGTTAGAGTTGGTATGAAAGCCTGATCTGGGATGAGGAGAAGTACAAAGGAGGATACTAAGTGTAGACCTCCTTTGGACTACCTCCCTAATTTAGCACTCAACGATTTGTAGATTGGGAGCCCTGAGGGGTGGGGGTAGGAGTAAATATCTCCAGGGTTCCAAGGCACCCTCTGGGTCTCCACTCCTAAAACTAGCTCAAAAGCCCCCATTAGCGAGCTTACCTTTAACAGTCATTTAGTTCAAAGCCAAGGCATTTACTAAAATGGCATCGTAAGAATAATAGTTACAAAACATTGACCCTCCCCATAAATGAGGTGCACTCTCCCAGGAATACACAGTCAGTGAAAGTAGTAGGCACAACTTAAGAGTACAGTAGTAGTAAGGCACACATTAGGGAACACAAGTGGGCCAAAGAAGCTTCTCTCTGAAACATAGGGTCCTTCTTGTGGTATCTTCCTCTCCCTGTACCCCCAAAGCATCTTCACTGGGCAGGTCACTCAGGTCCACTGGTTGTGGTCTTCTCTGCAGCTTAACTCTGGGCTAGTGGGGCTGGCAGATAGCCTTTTAAAAGCTACCTAGGCATAGCCAATGTTCAGCCTACCAATGCTATTCACACTTTGTAAAAAAATAACAGGAAAGGTTTGTTTTGTTTTTTGCAATTAGGTTAACACATTAACACATCCTCTTTATCTGCTCCTAACTTTCTGGCCTCACATCAAGCACCAACTCCTTCATCCCTCACTACAGAAGCAAATGTGGTGGAGTTATGAGGTAAGACTTGGCAATTGGTAGACAAGATGGATGAAGGAATGAAGAATTAAAGTTTATCCTAAGAGAATGGTAATAGTATCATTAGAAATTGGAACTAAAAAGAAGCAGATGATAAATTCAATTTTAGACATGTTGAATTTGTGGGTTAAGGAACACCACACCAGGTACTTCTAACCTCCCAGGGTTGTTTCTCAATCATGCATGATCTCAAAAATCAAACAGGCTTAGTAAAGAGTAAATTGGAAATACTGGTTTTTATGGGGAAGGTAAGAGAATAAGGGAACAAGCATTTATATAGCTCCTACTGTGTGCAGGGCACTTGTGCTAAGCTGATCCTTTTTTTTTTTTAAACAAATATCTCGGTTGATCCTTACAATAACCCTGCAAGGCAGATGCTGTTATTATTCCCATTTTACAGTTGAGGAAACAGAGGCTGACAGAGGTTAAGTGACTTGCCGTGGATCACACAGCTAGTGTCTGAGGCCGAATCTTGAACCCAGCGATCTACTCACTTCACCACCAAGAGGCCAAATCTGAAAGTTCATTTTAAGGAGCCTCAAGCTGCCTGAGTAACAATCAATTTACAGCTTGGTAATACCAATGAAAAACTTTTGTTTTTTTCCAGAGCTAGCATGACACCAGGGACAATTGGTAACGACTGGCCACATTTAAATCGCGACTTGCTTAATAATCCAACGCTAACTAGATCTTTCCAAGATGCCAGACCCTCGGCTCCCAGACCCCTGGGCAGAGTTTCTAGGGGTCACAAGCCCCCGCTACACCGGACCCCTAGACTCACTGCCTAAGCCGCAGGCAGGCTATTTCACAAGTCACCAGGCAAACACTGGTTGGCTCCCGAGTCAAGACAAATGCAAGCCTAGCTCTGCTCAAAGACACCAGTCCCAAACGCTCACTGGCCCCGGGGGGACTTAATCTTTTGTGCTTCGACCTCTCCGGCCCCACCACCCCGAAGTCGGTGGCGACACACTCTCTGTGAGCTATTTCGACCCTGCCCGGCCCCCGTAGCTCCCCTTCTCCAGCAGGTGGTTCTGGTTTTCTCCCCCAACTCCAGCCGCTCACGTCACTTGAGAACCTCTGCCCACGCGCCACCGCTGCAACCAACCGAGAAAATAAACAAACCCCGAAACGGACCGCTGGGGCGTGCGAGGCCCCTCCCCTCTGCTCCGCCCTTACTCCCCCCTCCCGCCGGCCCCCAGGTCCATCCAGCACCGACCCAGGGCAGGGGCTGCTTTGCCGCCGGTGAACCAGCCGTTCTCTCCCTGCCAGCCACGTGAAATCTCGCTCACCTCGACCCGCACAGGGCTTTTTTGTGCCCCCTCCCCCGTTTTGTCGACCCCCCCCACCCTACCCCCCGGCTCCACAGCTCGGCCTCCTCACGGCGCCCGGGACCCGTTACACACCACCCCTTCACCCCTCCGCGGCCCTGCGAAAACGCCGCGGCGCGCGCAGAGCGAGCTGGGGTGAGTGAGTGCGCGTGCCGCGCAGGGCCGAGAGGCGCCCCCCGCCCCCGCCCCCCAGCCAGCGGCGAGCTCCCCTCCCCCTCCCTCCCGGCTTCGGACCGTCTCGCGCCGCCGCCGGGCTCCGCGCGCTCTCCCGTCTCCCGTCTCCCCCGCGCCCGCGCCCCCGCCCCCTTCCCCTCCCAGTTGACTGAGGAGCCAGAAACCCAACGCCCAGCGCGGCCGGCCTCGAGGAGCCGCCGCCGCGGCCACCTAGCCGAGGAAGAGGAGGAGGACGGAGTCGGGGGAAGCCACGGAGGGGAACGCGGTGAGTTCGAGGAGCGACCCGGCCGAGTCTGGGCGAGCTGGCCGGGAGGAACCCGCCTCCCCTCAGGCCCCGCAGCCTTGCCGTCGGCCTGGGGTGAAGGGCGCCTGGGGCAGCACTCGGGGGCGGGGGCGAGGCCCGAGCTCGCCCGAAGGGATGTGGAGGCGGCCGGCCGACCCAGGCCGCCGGGGAAGCGGCGACCCCCAGCCGGCGCCTGGCCCCTTGCAGCCTTAGCCTTCTCTCATCCCCAAACTGGGGCTCGTGGAGGAGAGGGATGAATTAGGGCTTCCCTGACCTGGGGTCATTGGGGGAAGAAGGGGAAGAGAGAAGGGAGTTCTTCGGAGGTATACCCCCATTCTCCAACGCCAGACCCCCTGCCACGAGTGGGGTTGTTGCGCCCTCCCAGGGTTGTTGCTCAGTGCGTCCCCCTCGGATTGTTGCCCAGTGATCCCCCCTTTGCCGATCGTTGCCCGATGAACTCCCCTTCCCGGGGTGTTGCGTTTCGAGCCCCCTTCCTCCTTGGGCTGGGTGCCGTCCCTGGCTTCACCGGCCTGAAGATGCACGGAGACTTGGGAAGCCGAGCTCCTCACTGCAGGTGCCTCCCCCGCCTTCGTGCCTGGGCTCTCCGCGGCGGCCCTGCGAGCCACCCTACCATCCTGGGAAACTCTCCCCTGGGCAGCCCCCGGGAGGGACCGGTTTTTGATTGGTTTGCATGTTTTTTACTCATTTCTTTTTCCTCAGGTATTGAATTCTCCTTCATGCTGGGCTTAAGTCTAGCCCAGTCAGATTCTTTCCTTGCTTTGCTTTGTGCTAATAAGATTTTGGGCACCTGTTAACACCGTAGGAGTGGAAAAGTTGGCTTTTGTTCACGAATGAGGTATAGTTACTTTTTTTTGATGATGTGCTGTTTTGCCTCCCACAGTTGATTGAGTTTGACTTGGATGAAGACTTTTTTTCCCTGGAAGAAGGAAGTTCTGGAAAATTTTTGCTAGGTTTTTAGGCATCTTTAAGGGAAAAAAATACTTTTAAGTATTTCCTACCCTTTTAGGTGTTACATTCTTCTAACAGCAAATGTCCCTCAGGATCTAAATAATTATTTGACAAGACTTTGGTATAAGAAAATTATATGATATGTAGCATTTGGGCCATTAAAACATTTAATTCTAAATTAATAGGAAATTCCGTTTTCCTCCATGCATCCTCTTTCTCTTGTTAAATCCCTCAATCCTGGGTGTTTTTGATATCTAAGAAAGGTTACTAATACTGTAATAATCCAAAAAATCTTTATTAAGCTTCTCCTGTTTTCAAGGCACTGTGCTAAACCTTAAGGATGCATTTGAAGGCAAAAAAGAAAACAGTTCCTGCCTTCAAAGAGTTTGTTTTAGGCAGGCAGGATGGAAATGTATACAAATATCATACAAAAGAAATTGTGGGGGGATGAGAAATGCTCAGATGATGTCGTCTGAGCATTCCTGAAGGAAACCTCGATTTTGAAAGATGATGATGAGGGAAGTGCATTCCAGGTGTGGGAAAGTTTGATCAAATTTGCTAAGTCAGGGGACTGGTGATTGAATTTGGGAAACAGCTCCTATAGGGTGTATAGCTGGGAAGAGGATGAAATAAGGCTGGAAAAGGGTCATTGGGAGCCAAATTTAGAGCGCTAAAAGTGCCTTCAGGGCTTATTTCATACTGATCCTATGATTTTTTAAAAAATCATTTTCTTGGAGTTTTAGCTAATTTTTTTCTTTAAACAATTTATATCTTATTTTGATAGCATCTTCGTTTCTGAAAATATCCCTTCTTTACCCTGCCCAATGAGACACCTCTTGTTACAAAAAAAAAAGGGGGGGGGTTGGAAAGGCAGTTAAGCAAAATTATCCAATATATTGTTTCTGACAGTATGTATACCCATATCCATACCCATAGTTTCCTGTCTCTGCACAGAAAGGTACATTTTCCCAACTGTTGTTCAGGGCCAGATTTTTCATTATAGTTGTCCAGTGCTTTTTCCTCTCATTTTATTTCTTGTAGAAATGGATTTTAAAAAATGAATTAGTGCCTTCCACAATGTTAAAAATTATTCATTATTTGGTGGGTTTTCTCCAGCAAGTCTTTTCCAGGTATTTTCAACATGCTAGATTTTGTGCTTCACCTTTGAAAGGCTGATGTCGCTTTCGTATTGTGATGGGGCATCAGGATAGAACTTCGTGGGAGATAGAGGAATTTGGCCATAAAAAATAAACCAGAAATACTCATCTCATTTATTGTGAATCACCCATAGTAAATATCTAGCTTTCTTTTGCAACTTTGCACACTTCTAAACTTTCTCCAACATACATCTAGAATTGGATATTTCAATCTATTAATAACTCATTTTTATGGCACTTCAAAATTCACAAACATTGTCACAGCAATCTTGAAAATAAATTATTAATAAAACATATTCCAGATATATTCCAAAAGTTAAATATAAATGGATTTAGAGATTACTAATTCTATGGCTTGCTTGCCTTGGTAATTATAGTTAAAAATAATTGCTGGCATTTAAGATCTGCTAAGGGCAAGAATTTCCTAACGTTTTGACATTGACAGTCTTTAATATAGAGTAGTTAAGTGACATTCAGTAATGTGCTCAGCAGAAATAGAGGACTGGTACTCAGGTGTATGCTGGTCCCACCTCCATATTTAAATTTCTGTGCTATTTATAGTCCTCTCTAGTGTGTTTGTTTAAACATTTTATTGATATTTCTAAAAGTTGTCAGTTATTGTTTTTTTTCTTTTGTGCTCTTTCCATCTGCTTACTTGATCTTTCTTTTATACCAACCTTATCTCACATTTCTCTCCTTAATATACTTTATATTCTAGTGTAACTGTACCTAGTAGCTAGTCACAGAATTCAGCATTCATTCTCCTCACCTCTTTGCATTTAAGCATGCCCTGGATAGAGGAAATAATTCCTAGAATGCTTTAAGAACAAAGCCTTTCTTGATTCCCATGAAGTTGTTAATTTGAGAAAGAAAAGGCATTTTGGGTTTTATTTTCTTTTGTTCTTGGATTTTCCCAATAGAAAATAAGTTACTTATAGGTGTGGACTATTTTTGTCTTTGTATCCCTAGTGTCTATTACAGTTCGGTGTATATAATGAACACTTAACATTTGATAAATTTCAGTTGTACATGTGTTACACTGAACCACTAACATTTTCCTGTGCTTGCCCTTTTCAGATCTTCTCCCAAAGTCCATTTTCTTATAAGGTTAATGTAATCTTGTTGTGCTTCATTCTTTTGCTTTCACAAGAGGAAGATTATAATCTTTATTGCGGGTTGATTTCTTTGATAGACATTCTGTTGTGTTGTTTGTGATTCACTATCCCATAAGTCACAGAACAGTGCTTAGCTTGTAAATAAAATGAACATCCCTCCAAACTGTTGAACTGTATTGATTAATATGTGCTGCTGGGCAGCAGCACACTGGATCTTCAAAGGATGCTGAGCAAAAAGCCACCTGCTCCATACTTCCTTATGCACTTCATGTGCCCCTCTACTCCCAACTTTAAAGAGGCTTCTGCCATAAAGAGATGTAGAGGAGGTGACTATTCACCCCAATGGATAGTGCAGGTGTTCTGTATCCTGTATAAATTGACATTCATCTTCTTGGTTGTCAGTGACCAATGCTTTCCACCTCCTTTATTGTTCTAATTTCCAAATGGCTAATTAAACCATTTGCCACTTTTCCTTAATTTCTTTTCTTTTAGATATTCTGTTAGTTTTATACTCAGGAAAAGCCAGGCCTTTTATAAACCTTGCCAACTAATTAAAGCATACCTTTCCCTTCTACATAAAGTTCTCTAAACTTTTCACAGAGTAATCGATGTCATCTTGGCTCTTCTCAGCAGAATTTGTTGTTACTATTTGTTCAATGACTACTTCTTTGCCTGCCAAATAATTTTTGGGGGAGGCATTTGTGTTTGGAGCCATTCCAGAAGCCTGACATCTTCTGGGAGTCTAGATGGATAACCATAGCTGAAGTTTTACATTTGATACTTCAAACATATTTAGTTGTAGAGTTAGGTATGCCTATTACAATAAGGAAAGCTGTTTTTAATGTGACTTCTGCCATGATTTTATTCCTCATTTGCCTAACACAGTCATTCATGTCCTGGCTTTCTTTCCTCATAAGGCTTCAAGGAGTCATTTAATCTAAGACATGGAAATAAATTGTTTCCAACAGCGACTCTGGGGAAATGCTTTCGACCAAACAACTCTAAAATTTGCAGTCCATTTAAAATAATGAATAATTTTAGAGTTACTAAAATTTAGCACGTTGACTGCAATCAAAATATTGTCTTTCAGTTTATATTTCTTCAAGTACCTATAGCACTTAAAGAATTTTATCACTTTTTAAACAAGTCTTTTGACTTGTTAAACTTGAAGCAGAGTGAATGTATGTGAAACATATTTTAGTTGGAAAGCAAGGTTAAAAATTTTTCCACGTTGCAGATGTTCCCCCCTTCATATTATCAACCAGAAAACATGCTTCTAGGAAAACTTCAAACTTGAAAATAAAATACATGGGTGTAATACCACCCCCAAATTACCAATTCCTTGAATTTCATGTTTCAGTGATAAGATTAAATTGTAATTACCAACATCTTATATTTACTTTAGAACAGTGGCGTCAAACTCAAATAGAAATAGGGGCCACTAAAACATACATAAAAAACCCTGCCAGATATTGACTTAGATGAACATTATCTATGTTCTATTGCATTTTTATTTATTTTAAGTATTTCCTAATTACCTTTTAATCTGGTTCAAGCTTCACTGAAAAGTGTAGCTGGCAGCAGACACTACTTACTTAGACTGATATTTATGTATTTAAATGCTTCACTATTTCACCAGTGTTTGTATTCTTTTTACTGGTGCATATGGCGACCATTCTATACGTTCATAGACTGTTTTTGTGAATTGATGCAGCCAAAAAATTTTATCACCTAGTGGCCAACATTTCTGGCAACAAAACTATTTGAACTTTGTTTGATCCCTGGACAAAAGACATGTAGCTTACTAGTACGTTTCCAATTTGGTATAGGATTTGTCAAAGCTTGCATTCTGATGGTATAACCTTTTAAGAAATTATTTTCACATCATTAGAACTTTAATAGAGAATGTATGTGCGCACATATATAATTTTGTTTAATATCTGTTGGAAGTCTTAATCTCACTTGTTTATGAGTGTTTGGGGCAGCTGTTTGAATATTTTATTTCCTCTATTTAGAATTTATATCTTGTTTCTTCTCAAAAATGTATTGCTTTATAAAATTAAGTATATAAAATAGGACAATTTTTAAAAGAACAAAAACTAGTCAAAAGGAGTATACAAGTAGTTATTATTGCCAGGTACCTGGAATGAGTTATAAAAGTTGAGCAAGAATTTAGCTCTTAATTTCTTGGCAACTCAGGCCAAGAAGGAAAAGATGGGAAATGTATGCACTTCATTCTCATTTTCTGATAAAAGAGAAACACAAATTATCTGGAGGGATTTTTTTTCTAGCATTGACCTAAGGGAGAAATTTATTGTGTGGGTTCTTATGTAAGGGATACTGGATAACATCTTCAACTGATTCTGCAAAAGACACAAACATTGCTGTTTAAATCAGCCATGGTTATAGCCAACATTTTTTTTTTTTAAGCTATAGAATCTTGGCAAAAGTATTTTTGCAGAGACCTAAGGTAAACTGGGTATGTTTTTTCTGATTCTCTATCATAATATAGGGAGAGGGAAAGAACTTAGAAACTCTGGGAAAAAGAATAGTCAACATGTTCATCAGAGGCATTTCTCCTTCCCCACACCTTCCCCTGCCTCTCTTCCTCTCTT